CCAATTACTAAGAAAACTAAATAGCATCAAAATCAGAAAATCCATCGCTATACAGATAAGAATTGGAAAATAGAGAAATCGCTAAGACTAATTACCAAGAAAAAACTAATTAGCATCGAAGTCAGAAATTCCATCAAGGTACAGATAAGATCGGGAAAGGAAAATCGCTCAGACCGAATATACGATTTGATGACTTAGAAAATCCAAGTAGATAAACACAATAGAGAACCGATTCTGATGTCCAACCGGACTTTCGACTCTGGTTTCCCTGACCCGAGGTTCAGGAAATCGCTCAGACCGTAAATCATGAAAATGCTCAGACCGTAAATCAGGACCGTAAATCAGGAATTACAAAGCAGAAGAAACGGATCGACAATCAAACTTTACAGCAAACATACAAATTATCATTGGGATATACCATCAGCTGCCCTAATTAGGACTTTCAACCAATACTATGAAAATTTCCAATTGATTTATCCGACAAGATTTATAATCGAAACCTAGAACAATCATAGGAAATTTCAACACTAAGGAAATATTACAAAATAACTTTTCAGAGCGTGAGAAAGAGAGAAACCTATCGAACGTACTCAGTATTAGCATCAACCCAGACAAGACGACCCTTAGTATGATCTCCGACTAATCCAGGACGTAACGATAAGAGCAACAATCCACCAAATAATCTCTCTCCCTTTTTCTTCAACAGCCCCCAACTTACCACAGCTCCCTCAAACCCTACCCCAGCATCTTCGGGGGAGGAGAACCACCTCCCATTACTAGCACCTAGGCTCTGAGCAATGCTAGCACTGAAAACTTTGACGGCCATCTTCAGATTCCCAAAAGAAAACCAGAAAAAAGTGTGGCTCCACCTCACCAAACCCGTTAGCAAGGCGCCACAGGGGGTTCAAGCATCCGTCCATATCCACTTACCACCCTGTTGAAGAAAAGAGGAGAGAAGACCTCATCCCAACACCAATCCGTTGCCCCTTTCAAAATTCAGCCCTATTCGCATATCATCAAGAAGAGAACCCTCACGAGTGCCTTGGAACACAGCAGCTGATGACGACTCCGGCAGCGAATCTTGCACGTCGGTTTAATCCACGAAAACGGTTAACACACCGACCATAGCCACCCCCCCAACCCCCCGCTCCAAAACCCTCTTCCTTTCACCCTTCACCGCTCGTCACATGCCCTGCCTGCATCCTCTTCCATCGTGCCTCTCCACTCGCTCCTACTCTCCAACGCCCTTCCTCGCGAAGCGCCACATCCTCTTCCTCCGCGTCTCTTGCTTCCTGATGCTCCCCGTCACCCTTCATCGCCATGCGCTGTCCGCGCCTGTCCGCTTCTCTGTAGTCCGATGGCGAGATCGGTGGGGCGCAGCGCTCCCCCTCATCTTTGTCATAGTCACTCCTTCCAAAAACTTGTGTCCTATTTTCTCCCTGGCTGAATTCCCCATCTCTCCACTTTCGCCCCCTGAGGGCAGTTCTGGGCCAAGCACCTTCAGCTACTGGCCCGTGTACTTGTGCTTTAATGTATACGAGCCGTCTCCAGTCACAATGATGGTGCGTTGTGTTCGGGGGACGACGGTAGGGAGAGCTAAGCGCCGGCGGGGAGAAGTGAACTACCGGTAGCGCGGGAGATAAGTGCCGGCTGGACGTCACTCCTCTGAAGTCCCCGGCCAAAGTGCCGGCTGGAAAGACCTTGTGAATTAGCGCGGCGGTCGGGAAGACCTCGTGAATTTCGAGGGCCTCGAGAGCGGGAGCACCACAGGTCCACAGGACCCCCGAGGGCGGACTCCCACTACCGTAGTGCTATCTGAATCTGACAGCAATTACTGCCTCGCCCAGATAAATCTGACTGCAATCACGCCCAGAGGTTGGTAGGAAAAGTCCCAGTGCGAGTATATGCCCGGACTGGATCATCATCTCCCTAGCAGCGCTAGCGGGAGCATGTACCGGCGGGGAGATCTCGTGAATTTCGGGATTGTCGAGAGGCGGAGCGCACTCGGAATTCGTCGATATTGACATTGGTCATATTAGGCCTCGCGTTGTAGCAGAATGGATGGAGGTGGGGAATAGCGGTGCTGATCGCGATCGCCGAGCGAAGATTACAGTGCATGGATACGGGAGGAGCATGGCGATGGTGATCTTAACCGTCAGCGTCGAAAGAAGATCTTAACCGTCAGTCACGCCGAAGACGCCGCATAGCAGCAAGGCAGATTTAGTCTAGCCTATGGCCGCGGTGCTTCTCTCGGCTCCCAGGCGAGTGCTGCTGTTGAGGACGTCTCGTAGACACGACGAAGCTGAGAGAAGGCAGTGAAGGTGTCTCGACCTTCTCGGCAGGTTTCCATCTCGAGAACGACAGATAGCAACAGCAACGTAAAGCAATGATTAGTGAGTTTTGGACTCTCTCTCTCTCTCTCTCTCTCTCTCTCTCTCTCTCTCTCTCTCTCTCGTGAATCGCGAGTAAATGTCGAAACTCACTCTGAGTGACAAGGAGTATAGAGGTTTTACGACTCTCTCTCTCTCTCTCTCTCTCTCTCTTTTCTTTTTGCTCGTGAATCGCGAGTGGATGTCGAAACTCACTTGAGTGACAAGGAGTATAGAGGCTTTACGAGTGTTATTCCTCCTCAGAATGAGCGTGGTGTTGACAAAATTAGCGTTAGCAGCAGCTTGCCGATGGGCTGACCAGGCTCTACCAGTTTAGATGACTCTCTCTCTCTCTCTCTCTCTCTCTCTCTCTCTCTCTCTCTCTCTCTCTCTCTCTCTCTCTCTCTCTCTCTCTCTCGCGTCCTGTTTTAAGTCGAGTGTACGGTACAAGTATTCACTGCAAGTCAGGATATAGGCAGACCTCAGGTCTTGGATTTGATCCGTTGTTCTGACTCTTCTGAGTTTTTTTATGATGACCGAGATCCAGTTATACAGGCGACCCCGGAACATGACACTGTCAGGACACCGAATCCCCACCGCCGTGAACGGTTGATCGCTTGAGCTTTTTGGTTGACCGCCCGCTACTCTAGCTTGTGGTTGACCGCTCGCTACTCATTTTCTTCGTTGACCTCTCGCTACTCATTTTCTTCGTTGACCTCTCGCTAATTTTCTTCGTTGACCTCTCGCTACTCATTTTCTTCGTTGACCTCTCGCTACTCCATTTTCTGCGTTGACCGCTCGCTACTCCATTTTCTTCGTTGACCGCTCGCTACTCTAGCTTCTTGCTACTCCAGCTGCTGCTGCTTTTTTTTTTTTTTTTTTTTTTATAAATTTTATAATTTGGACCATTTCTCGATTTATGCGTGTCATCCCTGCGCAGTGGCCATGCTAATCTTCTCTGTATCGTTCCAATTTTAACGGATGTCCCGAAGGACCAGCTGCTTTGTTGACCGCTCGCCTCTCTAGCTTCTTTGTTGACCGCTCTACAGGCGAGCCAGCCAGTCAAACTCGCGAGAGTTGCGAACTTGCGAGCGGTCGACAAGAAGAGCCGAAGCTTAGGCAACCCTCATTCGAACATACCGAAAATGAACGCTACGGAAATTCACATCAGCTCCCGCCAATGCCGCCATCGCATTTCCTCCATCCTCGACATCATCGAGGAGAGAGAATCCGTCAGCCATCAAGCCCTAAGCTTAATTTGCAAGTGGGTCCTTGTGACACACGGGGATGGGGCCAGCCAGCACTCAACCTGTCATCCATGTGGCTGGCCTTGTACGTTAGAGATGATGAACGGGCGGGGCTTTCCTTTCTTAATTCTTTCCTTTTTTTGTTTCGTCTTTTTGCCGCCTTTGCGCTCCTATTCGCAGTGTGACAATATATATGCATGTGGATGATGAGTCGGTGGGTGAAACTCCGACGAAGCAGTTTGTCACCGCCCCTCGTTTGTTGTCCTCTTCTCCCTCCCTCTCTGCCTACGGTTTACCGGGCAGCTCTGTTTGACGATATGTATAAGGGTGAGTGATAGTCTACTTTGATTCTCGTCACAGGTACCTTGTTGAGGGCAGTGGTTGGTGGTCCCCACCACCTCAGGGTATCAGTTGTCGGGCAGTCGATGATCCTTGAGGACCTTAACCACAACCGGGGTCACGGTGGGTTATCACTTAGTGTAATCAGTTAGGGGGTTCTGCAGACTGTTGAGGGTTCAGCCTCTACTGATTGATGAGTCGGTGAAACATCGACGAAACAGTTTGTCACAGCCCGTTGGTTGTTGTCCTCTTTTCCCTCTCTGCCTGCGGTTAACCGGGCAGCTCTGTTTGAAGATAGGTTGTCACAGCTCCTCGTTTGTTGTCCTCTTCTCCCTCCTTCTCTGCCCACGGTTTACCGGGCAGCTCTGTTTGACGTTGACTGCGTGCAAGTGGGTCGATATGACACATGGGGGTGGGGGCAGCCGCCGCTCAACCTACATCCACGTGGGCGGCCTTGTACGCAAGAGGTTCTGAACAGAGGGAGTTGTAAGTAAGAAGATAAAACATGAATTGATATCTTTTTTCAAGTTTTTTGTTTACTTTTTTGTTTTTTTCGTTTTTGCGATCTGATAATTTTGTGACAATATAAAAAACTGAATTCATTTTTTCCTGTTTTTCTTTCTTTTTTTCGCATTTGCGCTCTGATATTTATGTGATGATATATCGTCATATATATATCGTAGGCAGAGAGGGAGAAGAGAAGAACAAATGAGGGGGCCGGAGGGGCTGTGAAAAAACTGTTTCGTCGGAGTTTCACCCACTCATCATGCTGTGCCTCTAGTGCCATCGGTGTGTCTGGAGTGTAGTTTTTGGCTGTGACAGACCTTTCTTTGTTTTGTGGGTGTTTTGCTAGGTTGTTGCTTGTGATGGGGTGTGAACCGACAGTCTGTAGAGTATTCCATCTGGTGTGGATGAGTGATAGTCTGCTTTGATTTTCGTCACAGGTACCTTGTTGACTGCAGTGGTTGGTGCCCACCTCCTCAGAGGGGTATCAGTTGTCGGGCAGTCGTTGATGCTTAACCACACCCAGGGTTAAGGTGGATTATCACTTACAGTGTAATTAATGAGTTAGGGGATTCTGCAGACTGTTGAGGGTTCAGCCTCTACTGATTGATGAGTCGGTGAAACTCCGACGAAACAGTTTGTCACAGCCCCTCCCTCGTTTGCTGTCCTCTTCTCCCTCTCTGCCCACGGTTTACCGGGCAGCTCTGTTTGACGATATATATACGAGGTGATGAACAGGCGGAGATTTTCAACCTTTCTTCTTACCTTTTTCTGTTTTGTTTTTTCCGCCTTTGCGCTCTGATACACTGTGTGCCGATAAGTATATATATCTGTTTGTTGCTGAAGAAAAGAAAAAAGAAAAAAGAAAAAGAAAAAAATATGTCGAACTTTGTTGAGACAGTGGCAATTGGTTTATCTGTGGGACGTGTCATTTGCTTTGTTTGACTGATAGGCCTTCCTCTTCCCTTGTCCTTTCTTTGACCGGATCCCTTTCTCTTTCTCTTGCCTCTGTGCCTCTGTGAGGTTTTGTTTCCTCCTCCTTTTCTTTAGCTCTTTGGCTTTTGGATGCGTGCAAGTGGCTCCTTCAACTCCTTGTGACACACGGGGATGGGGGAAGCCATCCCCGTGTCACACTGTCAGTCTGTCACAGCCAGAGGCACAGCATGGCCGCGTAGTGACTAGTGACGGCTGACCACTGCCGTTGCACCTGACCGGAGAAAACCGTAGCAGGGAGCTAGCGAAGACGTAGTGTATGTGTGAACCTGATTATAATTTTTATATCTATTTTTTAATTCTGGCAGGATTTGAGCTTGTCTGTCTATTAACAGACTATTAGACTAATAACAGTTGAATGTTGGTACCATTCAGCCACGTGGGCCGGATCGCGTCGCGCCTTGGCAGATGCAGAGTCGGCCTCGTCAGGCGGCGAGGAGGATATCAGAGACACACAGACACACACAGACACACACACACACACACACACACACACACACAGAGAATACAATTATAATAGGAGCTCTTGCGTCACGTTTCCTTTCTTCCTCTCTCTTTTTTTTTTTTTTTTTTTCGGGTGCTTTCCCCTTCTGAGAATGGTATCACATGCAATCTCAGTCGGTCATTTGGGAGACGATTTGATTTTAGCTTTGGTACAACCATGAACTGTTAAAATACAGACCTGGTCCTTCGGGACATCCGTTAAAATTGGAACGATACAGAGAAGATTATTATTATTATTATTATTATTATTTAATTGAATTCACTTTATATTCCCAAAAAAAATTCACTTCAAGAGGCCGACAGAGAAGATTAGCATGGCCCCTGCGCAAGGAAAAAAAAAAAAAAAAAAAAAAAAAAAAGACCTGTGTTTTATTCCAAATGGAACTAGAAGAAAGCTATCCAATGATTACCCGGAGCCGGTCACTTCGATTACATATAATATCTTTTTTTTTTTTTTTTTTTTTTTCGATTACATATAATATCTCAAGGCTGTCCATCTTTTTTAGAATAAAAAATGAAAGTAACTGATTTGGTCGATCCTAACGAGGTACCAAGTACTACCAAGCGCTTCCAAACGCAATATCGTTTTTTCTCTTTCTGCAGAGGGGCGGGGGGGTTGGGAGGTGAGTGTCTTTATACGTGAAGAAAAGGGAGTGAGAATGAGGTGAAACAATCATGTCTCGTACCGTGATCACCTGCATTGAAAACCCAGTCATTGTCGCTGTATTTGGGCCAATTTTCAGTCTACATACAGCAGAAATGACAGGGCGTTCTATTCGGACGAAGACGGTCGGTATGGTGAAGTGCGAATTGTGTTTTGACCTTTTCATCTGAAAAGGTTTTGGCGTGGGCTGTTTGTTTCCTCCAATTATCTCCAGAATTATTAATTTTTGATGGAATGCAATGATTGCACTCTAAAGAAGACTTTGAAGAAAACTCCAGCAAAAAGGGAGTTGAAGTGTGAAATGAACGGCGATATTGTTTTTTTTGTGAAGTGTGGAGTCTTTCATCCAGCTAATTATAAATTTCTAGACATTCGCCCTCCCTAGTACGTTGAACGGCGATATTTT